TACTATATTATATGAAGATACTTGTGCACTGTTATCCTAGAAGTATTTGGTATTGTAAAATTTACCAACTAACATCTTTAGTAGAATCGGTTAGAAACTAAGGAGAATTTTGACCAAGACAATTGTTGTGCCACGGATGAACCACTACTTTGAAAGCAATTTCGGCGCGACTACGATGCTAAATCGCATGTAAGCCATAAATTTTTGTCAAAAATAATTTAGATCTTACTCTCCCAAATGAAACCAACAAAATTGTTTTTAAAGTAAAACCATGAAATGTTTTAAATGGCTTAATTAATTGAAATGTTTAACAATTAATTACCCAAAAATAAAACGTTTTTCAAAACCATAAAAGTGATATTTATTTTACCTTTTGTCAATACACTTTGTCATTTCCAACAATCCCCGACGAATGACAAATGGTAAAGATAAAAGGTATTCTGAGCAAAGAAAGGAAAATTAATGTAAGCATTAATATCTTTTGATTTGAATTAATGCATAGTGAAGTAAGGCAACAACCAAAGTAGTGAAAGTGAGTCACCTCTTGAACTTCCAATAATTATGGTTAAGACCCCCACAACACATTTTAATCCTTTGTTTTTCGATTCCGTGATATAAATCAAGTGATATTAAAGACAATGCACATAAAATCTCGGGTCATCGCGAAAGCTCCAGAAATAGACCCTTTAACTCTTTCATAGAATGCAACTCACCTTCACAATTACGTTATTGCTTCATCAAGTCTATTAAAGATAAACCACTAAAAAACTGAGCTATGAAGACTTTACACATTATCTATCAAGTCCAGACCACCCAAATAAAGGGCTATGGATTCTCACAGTACATCACAAAACTAGTGTATTATCCATCAAGTCTATACAGACCACCCAAATAAAGGGTATAGATTCTCCTCAACATTACGAAATGTTATTTTTTACGATGATGTATAAATAGGCCACGAATAATTGCAAACATGATCAAAGATCTAATAGCAACTATTTTAGTTACAGTATAAAATTTATCAATATCATATTTTGTGTATATCCCACAACTTCTATTAATTTTTATTGAACCAACTGGCATAGTTTTTTAAAAAATTCATTTACACCTAATAGGCTCACTTCCTTTAGGTAACTCTATTAAGTTTACTTCGTCTATAAGATATATGCATACAGATTGAACATATATCTTATTTGAATTTTCAACCAAAAATTGTTTAAGAAATTTTAATTTCACATGATCATCCTCATGACATCTCAAATTAATTATTTCACCAATAATTGTTTGGGATTTTGGATTTAAAATAAATGATAGAGCGCAAGCATGCACCTGTCACAAGTACTAAAATGGAATGAGTATTCCGAGTATTGATCTATAGGGACAAATGAAGCCTTCTTAATGAAAATGATGTTGATCGGTTACTTTGCAATTGAGTTTGGGTGACAAATATCAATGATAATGTTGGTTTTGGTATTTTAAGACTCAATGCAATAAACACAACCCAATTACTTCAAATTAGCTAAAAACACAACAAATTTTTCCAACTAAGCGCCAGATGCCTCTCAATATTTTCCATCGGTTTTGCTTCGCCATCTTCTTATGTCTGTGTGATTTTGAAGGTATAATTTCATCCCTAATATGTCTATTAAAAAATTGAACTTAATTTAATAAAAATCAACTGTAACCTTAGGTCAAGCTCATATGTCTAAGCTACCCGAGCGAATTCTTTATGTCTAAAAGTATTTCTCTCCAAAGTTAAATCCTTAAGGTTGTAAAATATACCAACCTTTTTAAAATTGATGCTTGGTTAAAACATTAATTGAACATATCAATTTTTAACTTTAGAAAAACAAATTTAAGTGATAAAAGAAGAGAAAAACATTTTTTGCCTTGTTGGATTTTAAAAACTTAGCTAATCATCCATAACCGAGCTTGGAGAAATAAATTTAGCTCATAACTTTAAAGGAAAAACAGAATTGAACATTGATGTAAATAAATGACATGATTAAAAGGTGAATAGAATTGAAACAAGCTAAAAATGGTGGAGTTGTAACCCGAATGACCCTTACCCGTTCTCTTTCAAGATTGGGGAGCAACACTCAATCAATCCCACAAGTTTGAGTGATTACAACTTCGTAGAGAGAGGGAGAGAGAGAGATGAATATCAATGAACTTGCTGGAATTTTAATTTCATAAGATTAAAAGCTTACAATTGAAGAGTAACAAGTTGAAAAATAAATAATGAACTTCAAATAAACTAGTTTTAAAGTAACAACAACTGAGAACTAAAGAGAAAACGTCTTAAGCTGAGAGTGAAGTGTCGAAAGCTGAAAATGATCACTTGAGGATGATGAATGAAGTGGGGGAGATGTTGTATTTATAGGGAACTTCAAGTCGGTTAGAAGGAAGTTGAGCTTGAATTAGTCTTTAGCAGTGCATGGAAGACACGTGGAAGGGTTGAGAGTGACTTCTAAACACACCAAAACTCGTGTTTGACATTAAGGGCATTTTCGAAATTGGGCAAGGCGTCAGACGCCTAACTCGGATTTTTCTGCACAAAATCATAATTTCCATTAGAAACCAACTCTAAATGATGTAAAAATGTCCTATATACATGTATAACCTAAGATAACTTGGAATGAAAAGTTTTGGACACTAAAGTAAGCTTAAAATACACTTTCTAACTGTAAAATGATAGAAAATAGCACCACATTAGTTTCTTTTTACCCTTGTAAACAAAGAAAATCAATAATTAATTTAATTTCTCAAAGTCATGTCAATAAACTTCATCAATAAGATATATCTTTCATACATTGCTAAATAATAGCAATATCACATCGTTAAATAACACCAGATAGACATGAATAAAATTAGTCAATCATATAAGTTCATGATTTCCACATTAAATGATGCTCATGATTAATTAACCTTCAATAATACTCATAATTATATAATAACATATATCTTCACAAGAAAATATATTTAGTGACAATTATGCACTATTTAACATATTATTTATTCATTCTCATAGATATGGGAAATTGACAGATGTGACCTAACAAAGTTTTGCATTTGCTCAAATGACCTGAAATTGAAAAAATCACTTTTCTGACCAAATTTTACTTTTTCTGACATTTCAGCGTGTATGTAAAGATGAATATGTCCCTCACTTATACGAAAGAAGTTCAAATTACGAAGGCTGAATCAATGAAAAACCAGGGTAAGGTCGACCTACTACACGATCGAGTTTTAATTATATTACCACCAACTTATTTATTCCCCACCAATTTTTTGTACCATTATTAAATATATTCCCACTGATTGCAGAGAACAAAATCTTGTTTGAGACCTTCTTGTCTTTTTTACACATCTTCCACGTTTATTGCAAGAACTTCACACTTTTTCCAACATTTTTCACATCTTCAACACTTGAAAGAAAGTCATTTGATCATCTTTGACATTTTGAACGAGGTTAGTTTTTGATTTGTTTAGAATATTGTTTTTGGTTCATTTAGAATACGATTTATATAGTTAGAGTCCAAGCGAATGTAAATATCTGAACGTTTATGGACTTTTTATTAGCCGAACGTCTCTTAAGTTAAAGAAACTAGATCGTGTTTCTTCGTCCCCCGGCCGTGGCTGTGTATTCTTCGATTCCGAATTGTGTTTCTAGGCTTCCCCGGCCATGGATATGAATTATTTGATTCTCGGTCGTGGTTGTGAATTATTTGATTCCCGGTTGTGTTTCTAGGTTACCCCAGTTGGGGTGTGCCGTGTTTGTAGGTTACCCCGGCTGGGGTCTGTATTGTTTGATTGTTTGTAAATTTTATTATAACTTGGCCGGGGTCTGTAAATTTTATTATAACTAATTACTTGTGTGTTGTTTATTATCTATGTAGAATGCGTCAACTATTTGTGATCTACAGTGGAAGGTGGAATGAGGTCAGTACGATGTACAAAGGTGGCATTATGGGAGAGCTAGATGTTAATTAAACGATAACATATGCCGACCTAATAAGTGCTCTGTACATGCTTACTAGAATTGATCCTGAACAATTTGACCTTGTTATACAGTGTGTGTATAGATTTGAATTGCAATACGAAGTCCCCAACTACCTGATATTTGATGATACCAATTTGAGATTTTATTTAAATGGCCCTCCATATCCATCTCAAGTGCTCTTGTACATAATTGGCCTACCGAAAGCAACATATGGTCACAGAAATATTTTTTCAGAAACCCAGACATCATCTTCATTCCCATACTACTCAGGGCAGAATGATCCATGTTTTGGCCCTTCAATTTCTATTCACTGTCCTTTGCAGGATGTTTGTCCCCCCTCATTTGTCCCACAGATTACACCCTTGACCGATAACGTTGTCCCATGTCCTATGCAACCTAGGTGATGACGAATCTACATATTATGGTCAATTGTACGATAATGAGGTTAAGTATGAGCTTCAGAGTGATGATGAGTATGATTATGATGAATATCATACTGAGGATAAGGTTGCGGACGAGGATGTTGGAGCAGAGTTTGAGAACGATGGTGGGAATGGGTATTACAATGAGAACGAGGATGTGATTGAAGATCATTCTGAGAACGAAGGTCACCTGTCAATGAGTCGCATATAGTTACTAGTGGCAATGCATGGTGTGAAACAGTTGAATGATTGGTTTCCCAACCAATGTCGAATATCATAGTTGGTGATGAGGTGGATTATGTTGGTGAAATTGTTGTTAAGGGTATTTTCCATTCCAAGGAAGAACTATGCTTCAACTGTCGGTGTTCGCTATAAAGCTTAATTTTGAATTTAAGTTTAAAAAATCCACGAAAGACTTTGTACACTACCGGATGTACTGAAGAAGGTTACAATTGGGATTTTCATGCTAAGAGGATCTGAGGTGGTGATTCATATTCATCATTTCGAAGTTTACCAATGTCCACAAATGCAAATGTGAGGTACTGAACCATGACCACAAACAAGCTGAAAGTTGGATGGTTGGTCAGTTAGTGAAGTCAAATTTGAAGGATGTAAGCCGTCAGTACAGACCTAAAGACATTATTAACAACATACAAAAGAACTACAAGGTCAATGTTAGATACAAACAGGCATGGCCTGCCAAAGATGTAGCCTTGAATCTGTTGATCGGATCACTCAAAGAGTCATATACTCTGTTACGCAAGTATGGACGAGCATTGAAGGCAGTTAACGTAGACACTGTTTTTGAAATGGAGCTAGAGGAAGATAAGTATTTTAAGTACGCCTTCATGGCCCTCGGTTGCTGTATTATAAGGTTTTCCAGTTGTATTCGCCTAGTGCTCGTGATAGATGGTGCACATCTTAAGGGTAAATATAAAGATGTTATTCTTATTGCTTCTTCTGTGGATGGTAACAATCAAATCTATCTTCTTGTGTTTGGAATTGTCGATCAGAAGAGTGATCAATCTTGAACTTGGTTTCTGAATATGGTGAAACGTTGTATTGTAGAGGTTGATGGGTTATTATTCGTATCTAACCGACCAGTTTCCATTACGAAATCTGTTAGGGAGGTTTTTCCTCAAGTAGCTCACAGAATCTGCATGCAGCACTTATCCACGAACTTAAAGAACAAGTTCAAGAATGATGTCATTCAAGAAATGTTCATATTAGCAGCAAAGACATTCCGAAAGTCAGAGTTTAGGTACTATTTTTCCCAATTTGCAGGATTTCCAGAGGTCCAAAGGTATTTGGAAGGAATCGATTTTAAAAAATGGACACGTGCATTTCAACCAGGTTTGAGGTACGACCAAATAACATCTAATATTATAGAGTCTATGAATGTAGTCCTTGTCCATGCACGTCCATTGCTAGCATTGCACTTCTTGAACATGCTCGAGTGCTCTTACAGTGCTGGTTTTACGAGATGCGAACCTACGCATCTAGTCGCAAAACTATTCTTACTAATCATGGTGAGACTAAGATGCGTAGTGCGAAGAACCTTTTTCATACACACTCCATCACACCCATTGACCACCATGAGTTGGAGGTGTGCGATGGACTAAAAATGGTGCGCGTGAATTTAAATGCAAGGACATGCGGGTGTAAAGAGTTTGACTATTTCCAGCTACCATGCTCTCATGCTATTGCAGCGGCAACCCATCGGAACGTGAACAGGTATACCCTATGCTCACCTGCATAGAGTCTCCAAACTCTAATTAATGCATATGTCAAACTTGTCTACCCTCTTGGTGATGAAGAGGAATCTAGATCTTGTCTTCTATGCCTTCGAATTTCACCCTCAACTTCTCCTCGAAATCTTAATTTCCATTGAAATTGTGTTTAAATCGTTGGAAATTGAAAGAGAAATCAGATGGAAACGATTGTTGAAAGGTAAAATTATCTCCTTGAAGTAGAGGAACAAGTCGTTATCTTCAAACGACACCTTATTGGAGTGCCGCAATTTCTTTAATTTTTCTTTTAATGAAAACTAAAGATTCACCATCACAACTAATTTGCTAATAAAAAAAAATTAAACTTTATCAAATTAGTCAGGGATAAATTCGAACAATTTTCAATCAATTAAGAATTTTAATCATGTGAAAATTGTTCAAACATCTTATCAATCCAAATAATTTTAATAACTTTTTTGTGTAAATAATTAAGTTATTAAAAGAACAATGAACTAAACTCTTAAAGATCCAGTAATCATCCATGCAAAACTTGCTCTGATACCACTTGTTGGAAATTTTAAACAAATCCTAATTCATGATTATTCTAAAACAAAAGCCATAAAATTCCAGAACAATCAAGGCCATTGATCTAAGCATGGAAGAAAACAAAATCTATAAACAGATTAGAATTACCTGAAACCATTAGATAGATTGACCATGATCTGCAAGAAGTTGTGGTTTGTGGTCTTCCTCAACTATGCAACCCAGACCAAATATGGGCAATACTCTCTGATTGATGGGGAACAGGAGGCTCAAGAAGCATAGTGTATTGGGGATCATAACCATATATTTATAGGTTAATCCTTGGGTTTCCCATAATCCCCTAGGATTAATGGGCTGGTTTCTACTCAACAAGCCACACCACTAAATGGGAAGTCATGGGCCCATAATTAAGATCACTTGTATGCCCATTAAATAGCCCAAATATAATTACTCTTTAATTTGTTACCCACATATGAATTAATTATTAAATTAATTCCAATAACAAGGTGTCGTATTCGAACTCCTGTATTGTTATTCCCTCTATCCATATATGAATTAAATTTACCTAATTCATCAACTTAAGCTTTCGAATTTTGAATTGAGTGGTGGTTTATTCATCTTTAAACCATAATTTTTGAGGCACTGCGTTGGTATCTTCTTCTATAACTTCACAAAAGGAGGAGGTTGCGCGTACCTAAAAAAGTGAAGAACATTACTAAGAATTTGACAATATACATCTTCACAGTAAAGAGCAGTGAAACTCTTAGCAGTTATATACTTACATTTTTCAGTCGATATATATTTGCGATGTAAGCTTTTTGGAAAATGAAGCTAGTTCAAATTTTTATTTCTTTTTATTTTGGGTTGAAGATGATAGGTACGTTCTGATGAGTGCAAATGAGTTAAACAAGACAAAATTGTTTTAAAAATCTCTAACTGCTTTGGATTTTTGTGGAGATTTAATTATAAATGTTGTGACATATATGAATAGATATATTTACATGTAGACCCACAGTTAAAAATGTTGGGATTTTGTATCATATAGATTTTATATCGGTTCATTTCTAAATACCTAGTATCTTTAAATAACTTCATCTTAAATCATAGTTTTGATTAGTTAAACATATGGTTTTATATTTTCCATTGGTTATCTTTGATAATTCAATCTAGCCTTTTAACATTTGTGTATGTTTGGTAAAAGTCAAAAACGAACCAATGAGAAACCTCTCTCTCTCCCAAAATTTATGAAAAACTTATGTCATCTAGGACCCACTTGTTTTTTTTCGAAAATATATATATACTTAACTTTAGCGGTAATTAGCATATACCTCTGAAATTTAGCTTAGCTCAGCGGTAATTGACATATACCTCCAACCATGAGGTTGTGAGTTCAATCCCTCACCCCCACATGTTGTACTAAAAAAAAAACTTTAGCTTTTAGACATCTCTGAAATTTTGATTTCAACATATTTACTGTTATTTGTGAGGATTACACTAGGTTGTTATTTTAAGATAGCTTTTTACATGATATATTTGTTTAGATACGTAACCTCTATTTTGATTTTAGGTTCCTAATCAAGTACTATAGTGAGAAAGTTAAAGTGAAGGGTTGAAGACTACAAGGTATGGTAAACCACCACAAAAAATATGAACGTTGACACCGTAACCATGTTCTTAGATAGCGAGGCAAAATATTGAAATGACTTATTTATTTTTCACATTGCCTAAGATAGTACTTCAAAGTCTTTAATACGGCGTCGAATAATTATAGACACAAGAATCCTTAAATTCGAAGTGATATCCGACATATATAGGAGATCTAACCATCTTTCAAAGGTACTTCGTCGCTAAGAAAAGGTTATATAAGAAGAAAGTTAGTAAAAATGTAAGGGACAAATGTAATGAGCCCAATTTTCTATATATATTTAATAGTCTTAAATTGAGATACTCAGAAAACATAATTTTATTAAATAAAATAAGATAAAAGCTTGCTTTTTCATTTAAAATGGGAAACAATAACTTAATAAAACTTAACTAATTATAAATCTCTAGGGTCGGAAATCATAAATTATCATCCTTAAATAAAACAAAATAAAAATAATGTGGTGTAGTCATAATTAAAAGTATAAATTATAAATAAATTTAAGTATGTCTCATATCTCCTCCTTATAGATGTCAAGGTCATCCTCCATGTTGTTGTCGTCATCTACATAACTATCTGGAAAAAAATTAAAACCACGTAGAGTGAGTATAAAAATACCCAGTAGTTCCCATCATAGAAGGAACCTTTCATGCTCAAACACACGCATCATTTTACATGCTTGCATACCTCAACCTAACATATAAACCACAGAACAACTTAACTTAACATACTTGTGTTTGCTAACATAAACTTACATGTCTAAATCCTTAATCTGGCGTCATGCAAAGCAGAAATACCTCATACCATAACTGTCAATTCCTTATGTAATATTTGTAAGGTAATTATCCCTCACAAATACCATTAACATACATGAATTAATTTGTTTCCTAGGGCCCAGCCCTTAGCAGAAATCATACATGTCATATCATACATCTAGCTGTATAACATAACTACTTAATTTTGGTATTCAATGCATAACACTAATCTTACCTAAATCCAGGACACATAAGACTACTAACTTGAATACAATACATCACACATTATGTCATGTTTTACCTAAACATGATTTGCTATTCAACATACTTAAAATGAAATGATAAAGCCACATAATCATAACGTGCTTTGCAATACATCAAATTTAACCACAACCACCATTCAATAATAAAATAGATTTGAGCAACATCAATAACATAATTCAATAACAAACAAGGTAACATATAATATAATATACCTACAATCAATCAATAATACAACAAAACATACAAGGTTGTAATTTATGATAGAATCCACCTACCTGAATTTCGTAAACTAAAGGTAATCCCTTAAAGCTTCCTAATAACAATTAACACAACTAAAATTACGACTCAATTACCTAAAATAAGTTTTATCCAATAAGTCCTCATAACTAGATAGATTCATTATTCTACTAGTATAAATCCCATAATAATTAACCTAGTCCGTAATAATCATAAAATTAATATTTAAATTTGTGAAAAGAAATTTTTAATCTTCATTTTAGCCTATGATTTTTCTACTATAATATCTATAAAAATAATTTACTGATTTTGCAAATTTACAAAAAACTTAATCATAAAATTAATCTTCATAGCACTAGGTTTCACCATTTTTAATCTTCATAGCACTAGTTTTCACAATTTTAAGTCCTATGTAAAATTAATCATAAAAATCAATTTTAGTATATTCAAAATTCATTTAAGGCTAGTTTAAAGGTGTTGGTCATGGCCACAAAAATTTAAAATTAACAAATCCGATTTTTTTTATTATAAACAAGCTAGAACTATGAAAATAACATATACCGTTAAAAACCGTTATGAAGCAATTTTATGAACATTTTTAGGATCTTTTTAAAAACCAAAATGACTTTCATACCTAAAATTAACAAAATAAGGCCTACACCAGTACCTATTTTTCTTAATAATTAACCCTAAAAATAATTTACATAATGTTTACCGTTAGTGCGTATTCCTCTCTATCGTAAAGGATAGAAGGACCAAATTTTCATCAACTATGAGAGCTTGAAATAATGCTAGAAATCTTAGAAAAATGGATATAGACATACTTAGGTTCTGTAAAAATTATGAGGAAAGACCCAAATATAGATTAAAAAAAAAAAGAAGTTGTTTCTTACTTAAAAGACAAATCATATATAAGTTTGAGAAAAAAAACGCAAATCCAAATTTTAAAAATCAAACTGAAAAAAAATCTTAAATTAAATAAATCAAATGACATGTAAGATTGAAAATTGAATAAAAAAAAATCTAGAAAGAATTCAAACCAAGAGAATAAATTTGAAATAGTTGAGAAGAAAGAGAGGGGACATAGGTTCAATGATTTTTTAAACCAACAATCTAGCATCTTTAATTTCAAGTTGGAGTTGTTTAACTAGCATAAAAAAAAAAGAAAAATAAATAAGAAAAAATGAACCAAAACACCGAGTAGTCCAATATGAAATTTATGATACATTTTAGAGGTGATCATCGGTCGGAGCTTGTCGGTATTTGAACACCCTCCAACTCCGACCGATCGGTTGGTTTTAGTCGGTTTACATATGAAGAAGTAATAACGCATTGGGAAATGTGGCAGTAGTCTCTTGGAGGTATATGCGAATTACCGTTGAGCTATGCTCGCTTTGACACTTCAGCAGCATTTAATGTTTTAAAAGTTTTTTTCTTTTTAATATATAACATATCGGTTGGTTTCGGTACGAAATAACATATCCAACCAAACCGATAGACTTTAACTCAGGTTTTCTTATTGAAAAATCGATTACAACTGATCTATTTATCAAACCGACCAATCGACCTTAGTTCGGTCAGTTTTGATCGGTTGGCTCAGTTTTTCAGCTCTTCATGCTCACCCTTGATACATTTTGCCATCTTATTCTGGATTTGTAAATATAGTCATTGCTATTTTCTATGCATTTCTCTTTTTCAAATGGGTATTAATTAATTAAGTGCAAATTCTCAAAATAATTTAGATAAGTGTAAAGGTTCTTCTGAAAATTATTTAAATTGTTGAGGGTAGAATCAAGCAAGACACGCATCACCATCTGCGAGGTATGGGATCACACGCGGTTACACATCATAGGGTAGGGAGAAATGTTGGGGAAGAAGCTATTTTGTTTTGCAGAATAAAACTGCAAAACAAAAAAACAAGATGACGTGGGGTAACTCCCACGTCATAACCAACTTCTCACTCCCCTGCAGGTGAGTGTTTTAATATTAATTAAGTTAATATTATAACAATATTAATTATATTAATAATTAATTGATCTTATTAATTAATTAACTATTAATCTAATTAACAATTAATTATATATATATATAATAATAATTAATACTTAATTATTTATTGTCAAAATAGAATCATATTCTAAAGCATTTCACACGTATAACCTACCATTGTAATGTACGTCTTATGCACATTATTTATTTTTATTAATTTTAATATGAATCCTATTCATATTAATTTTAATACGTCTTATGCATTTCACACGTATAACCTACCATCCTATAGTTTTAACATGAATCCTATTCATATTGATTTTTATTTGAATTTCATTCAAATAATTTCTCTCCTAATATATAGTATCTAAAATTAATATATATTTATATATAATGTATCACGTTCCCTTAAATAATTTGAACATTTCAAATTATTTCATAATTCTTGATCCTCGTTTTACCCGTGTTTCGCTAGCAAGAGGACCTAATGAACCTGCAGATAAGAAGTTCCAACAATATGAGATTAATCGGTCAAACTCATTAACCGACTTAGTCAACATTCGTTAACTACAGGTCACTCCACTAAAGACCCGCAACTGCACTATTCTCACTTCAGAATATTTCTGTGTCCACGGATATTGATCATTAACGACAAGTCAATCATTCACGAGTGCTTGTAACTCAAGCTGGGTCAAATTACCGTTTTACCTCTGAGTTACATCTTGTTCCTTAAATAACACTACTCTTCTAATGAACAATCCGGTTATGGTCCGACCAATAACCAGAAAGTCCCTCTCGGGCCAGTGAGAGGGTGGGGTCCCTTGTTTAAGTCCCAGAGTCAGCATATAAGGGAACACTCATCTACTTCCCTAATGTCGGGAATGAGTGAATTCCATCTTGTGTAGTTATGTTCCCAGCTCCTCACTCAGACTTGTCCCTAAATGGTAGTAACATTGAGTCGGCGACTCGGGGCCACTCGCACCCATACAGATCAAAGGACAAGCCCTCACGGGCAGGAGTCCGCAATTCACTCAAGATTGAGAATGAGTTGTCTAGTCATCCTATGAAATAGCAATCTATCAGTCAACGACGTTACATCTAAAGATTGGCTATTTCTCAATCTGGTCTTATACAAACTCATTGTAAAGGATACCCCCACTCGTATGTCTCTACACGAACGACCTGGATCAGATCGTTTGTAACATTTACAAAATAGGTCGTATTCATAGTGTTGCCAAGAGAAGGTACTCAGCCTTATCCATATGCTATAGACCATTTAGGTTATTCCCAGGATATTATCCACTTGTATATCAAGGGTATATCAAATATATACCCAGTATATATACAGTCTCAATTACATGATAATAACATTTAATATTTAGTTTATTGGATTTGGACAATGCAATGAAGTAAATTCAACAACTAATTGATTGAACAAGAAACCATAACTTTATTGAATATAAATTTGTTTTTACATAAATAGAAACTACGAGTTTAGGACAACACACCCAACAGTCGAGCCTTGTGACCTACTAGCGGTAGGCAGCAGGCTCAAAGCCTGTAGGTGGAGGCTCCACCCACCTGAAGGGGATGTGAATCCCGTAGCGGAAGCAATAGAACGCGTTCTCGAATTTCTTTTGAAATTTAAAACACATAAAAAATATAAAATAGGGATGAATGTTAAATTTTACCTTTGAATATTCTTCTTCGTGTAATCTGAATGAGACAATACCATTTGATCTTTCTTGCTATGTCTCTCGGTCGAGAATATGGATTGTGGGATCCAATTGCAAGGGATTGAGAGAGTAAGAGAGTTCAGAGATTTTTAGTCTTTAGTCTTCCTTACGGTAAAACTAACTGTTATATTTATAGAGAGGAAAAATCCTAAGACTATTAGGATATCTTATCCTTTTGGCTATATCATATCTTCTCCTGAATCTAGGGAAAATCCCAACACTATTAGAATATCTTATTCTTTTTATTTAATTAATAATAAACAAATTAATTAAATCAATTAACAATTAATTTAATTAATTTATTATTAATCTAATTAATAATAAATTCATTTAAATCAAAATATTAATTAAATAAATAAATAATTAACAATTGATTATTTAACTTTTAATTAAATATCACATAGTTAATTAAAACTATATATTTGAATCATATTCAAATATTTCTCTTGTATAACCTATAGTTTTAATATGAATCAAATTCATATTAATTATTGGAATCATATTCAAATATTTATCTCATAACATATAGTTTAACTATTGAATCGTTATTAAAAAATAAACTATATATATAATGTATCATAATATACATTATATACATTCCCAGATATATAATTTGAACATTTCAAATTCTCTCAAAATCTTGATCGTCGTTTTACCCGTTGTGAGCTAACAAAGGGACCTAATTGACCTACAGATCAGAAGCTCCAACGAT